CTGGGAACCCACTGCTATAGCTGGGCTTAGATCACAACTGTTTGTTGTCTGCAACCACTTCCAAGCTGAGGTTCCTGAACTGTATTTGAGTTCCAGCAAGTTTTGTAAGAGGGGGAACCTTTCTCCTTTCCATATCTCCTTGGCTTTGCACTGCCCAGGGAGACAGAAAGCTAAATTCAGCATTTCAGATTAGAGCAGATACCAAGTGGAAAGGAAACTGGGAGCTCTGACAGGGAGTAGGGGACAGTTAGAGGAAAGTTACTGGATCATGTTGGAAAAGGTATCTGACAACAGGTCAAAGCTAGAAAGCCAGATAGAATAATGCATGGATAAGTTTGTGGGAGGTGGAGACTGTCCCTTTGTTGCAAATGCCTTTCTCAGGAGCACTGTAATCTTGTTATGACAACAGTTTGTCAGATGAAACCAAGCCCAGAAGTCCAAACCATGCACCGACACACCACTGTTATGGGTCAGATAAATGAGGTCTACAGTCATACCAGCAATCTGTGTCCTCTTCTGGGAACCACCTCGCTCCAAACAACAATATGTCCTTCCCTACCTCCATGCTTGTTTGAGTCCCACTGCTCTCTGCATCCTGGCCTTGGATCATTCCAGACATCCCTCGACTTTGGCTAATCACCAGCCAACAGCATCTTCTGACAGTTCACACTGGCTGTTTGTAAAAACACTGAAAACGTTGCACAGATCCCAGGTGAAGAAGAGAACCGTAAGGGACTTTGTTCCACAGACCGGGCACTAAGGGTGCTTCCACCCATTCATTGCACCTCTAACAAGATTAAAAAGCTAACTGAAGGCATTAATTTGCAAATAAACCGGCAGAGGACATCCACATCTAGTCATTAGCCAACCATTTCATATGATTCACCCTGTAGAAATCTGCCTTAAATACTGGATATATTGTTGTTGGGAAAGTGTAACATACAAACTCCCCTGTAAGAGTGGTCTATCTGTTGTTCTGGGGTGGTACAAGCATAAACTTCCCTGACACTATGCTTCTTTGACTGTGGTTGTCCACCCTCTCCTTTGCATCATTACAGAAGACAGTGCCTCTGCACTAGTCCTTCATCTTTACTGTCCCCCAATAAAGTTGCAACAGACTTGGCAAAAGGACAAGTTTCATCACAGAGTCTTCAGCATCCTCAGACTTGAACGTTCACACCCCAAGGGAAAGTATAAATGCCTTTGGGAGTTACTGCACCATATACAACTTTGCATTTCAGAGCAATTTCAGGGGAAACTGAGGGATGTGGAAGGAAAGAGTCAGGTGTGAGCTCGCTCAGTATTGACAACAACCTGAAAGGATACATCTTTTTCCACTCCTTATTCTCACACTCTAAAACTTCTACGCTGCTTCAGATGACAGCAATATAAAGAGCAATATGTGGTTCCATGCTGGAGCCCTTCCTAAAGATGACCTGGGTAGAAATAGAGGTGGGAAGAAAGTGGAATGTACTTTAGGGAGGAAGCATCTTTTTGCCTGTCCATGCACAGTGCCTTCCATTCTTTCATGTGAAAGAGATTTCCAAGAGTTGTGTGATTTAAATCTCCCATTATGGCCAAGTTCTGTGCTTCAGCTAATTGCTATCAAAAAGATTTATCCATGTGATCTACTGGGATCTGCAGCAGATCCCCCAGTAATGCCTATATCATTTTCCTTTGTATTATCATTCTGACTTTCAATGCCCGTTTCCTTCTGCATTCTGAGCGCCTGAATGAGGTATGTGGCATAATCTCCTTCCCCTTTTTTCCTCCTGTTGTTCCTGAACAAGCTGTGCTCTTCAGTATTAATATTCCAGTCACGTATTCACGTGGCTGTACCCTACCAAGTTCCTGTTATGTCAATTAAGTCATAATTTTTATCTTGCATTAAGTTTTTCAGTTCTTTCTATTATTTTTGATATATTTTACATCAGTATAGAGACATCCAGGATGAACATCAGTTGGTTTGCTTCCTCCTCCTTCTTCCTCCAATGACATTTTTAAAAGAATCATAGAGTTTTCATTTTTTTCAGCTTTTTTGTCTAGACCACTGTGGGTCACATCTATTTGGATACTCATGACACCAGCCTGACAGGATATTTTAGCGCATATCTGATCAGATTAGGAAATCTATGCTAAAGCTTTTCGTTCTTTGTTAGATGGAACCCATTTCTTCTGGGCAGTCCTTCCCATCCCATCATGGAAGCACATGGTTATGCTGAGGAACCCGAGGTCTTCCTTGTAACACTCTGCACAGCCTTCTCTTTCCCACCTTTACATGCATGTACTCATTTGAAATTATCTTTGTCTATGTAGAAAGTACAATCATAAGTGCTTCTAGGCCTCTCCATCTTTTCACCCAAGAAGCACCCACACTACAAAACCCACAGTGACCACTCATTTTCAGAGGCCCACATTATCAGGAGCAAGACAATATGTATCTAAGACTTTGTGCCGAACTTGAACGTAGCAGAACCCTAATTCATGAAACACAATGTCACATTATTAATAAAGATTGATGCTAAAATGCAGAAAACAGAAAAAAATAGGTTCAGAATAGACAGTCAGAAATATCTTACTCTTACCTCTGTACTCCAAAATAGGAATACCTATATCAAAACTGCTCGTGAATGATGGTTGCCTAGCCATACTTTTAAAAATAGCCAGTAATAGGACACTGCAGACTATCACAGCCTATCTATTTCTGCACTTCACTATCCTACCTTCAGTTTTTTCTATGTCAAATAACTTTGCTGCAGTTTACTGTGGTGTTGGGGGACATGGTGTAGGGGAGAACTTTGTAGAGTAGGGTTGATGATTGGAGTAGATGATCCCAAGGGTCTTTTCCAGCCTAAATGATTCTATGATTCTACTTGTTCTAACCACAACGAACACAGAGAAAAAATTATTCACTTCCTCTATGCAAACAGGTTGCCCAGGGAGGTGGTTGAGGCCCCTTCCCTGGAGATATTCAAGGAGTGGCTCAATATGGCCCTGGGCAACCTGGTCTAGTTGGGGGTGTCCCTGCTGACTGCGGGGAGGTCGGACTAGATGACCTTTGGAGGTCCCTTCCGGCCTGGGCAATTCTATGATTCTATGAAACTGCCTATAACTAGACCAGTAAAATAAACAGAGCCAGAACCCGGGTCTGGATGGTGGACATTGATTATCTGCAATGTCATGTTCCTAGAACAGGCACTCACAGAGTTTGAGTATTGTCCTAATCACTTCCCAAATAGTTTGAGACTTATTATCAGCTCAGGTGAAGCTATGTCATTGTGAAGGCTGATAATGTCACCAGATAATGCCACCAAAGAATAAACTCTAGTATTGTTTTGGGGTTTTTTTTAGGTAGATGTACTTTTATATACCTAATAATTCTTATCAACTCTCCATTTTTGGAATAAACACCATCAATCTCAGCCTTTCTCCACAGACTCCAGATCGTTCCCGCTGGAACCCATATCATTTTGAACTGACATTCCCAAAACTGGTCCCTGAAGTGTAATTCCCAAATTGCAATCAGCTGCCCTCTCACCAATGCTGAAAGATTAACATGATGGTTTTCTGTGTACTACAAATAATATTCCTATTTATGCATTCTAGATTGCTTCATAGAGTTCTCTAAGTACAGTTGTATAATCTTAATGAACTCTAATTGATTTTGTAAATCTCTCACTTATTTAACACTTTTTAATAAGTTATTCCAGCGTTTAAAGCACCATAACCCCTTGCATTTGTTGCTGAAGCTGATTACATTAGCAGTGATAGCACAGGCAGGCTTTTTAGGGAGAAAAAAAATCATTAACTGTTTTTGGCCTCTCTGGAGTAACATTACAGTAGGATCGGTTGGTGGTCATGGAGAAGATCCTGTTACTTCTACTATTTTTGTACCTGTTCTGTAGATCATTGAGAAATTTCTCATTCTCAATAACTGCCAGCCTATCCACTTTCAAAAGCACTTAATATGTGCTTTAAAATTAAATGTTAGACTGTTAAGGCTTTTTAGGAATGAACTGTGCCTCATAAACCAATCTCTTTGAAAGAAAGCCCTAGAAGAGCCAATCAATAAAATTTAAATGGAGATAACTAAACGGTTATCATTGTCAACTGACTTCCTACCAATTATCTTGCGCCGGTGTGGCTCCTGTTGCCCATGCTAGTTGACCTTGACATAGCTTACTTGTATTTTTTTTAAAGCTTCAGCTGCACAGTTTCTCTGTTGGCAAAGATGCAGTGCTGCAGGAAGCCAGGCTTTACTATTGCCTCTTGTCTTTTGACATCATCTTTGGTATAAAATAAAGCCCTGTATGGTGCTCAGTGAGCAGGGCTGGGCTGGGATCTGCTGGTGGAACGGGTGTTTGCCCGGAGCAGAAGCCCTTAAGGGGTGACTGACAGGGTAATTAAAGAAGTTTGCTAATTTGCAGCCTCGCTGATAAAGGGATGTGTACAGTAGTCTCAGCCTTATCTCTTTTGCCAGGTTTACACTGGTGTGACACTGCTGAATTTAGAGGAGCAGTTCCTGATTTACCCCAGGGCAAGGGCAGACTCGGGTCTGATTTTTTTGCACCACAACCCATATAGATAACAGCTCTCGCTGGGAAACATTCAGTATATATAAGAACACTTCAATATAGATAAGCATATTTATAGCCCTTCCCCATTTTGTGCGGGTATTTTGGATCATTCTGGTACCTCTCGCTACAAAATATCCCCTAAACTAAATCCAGGGGAGGTAAATTATGACTTTTGAGCAGGGGGAGCCTGCCTAAATCACTGCCACATTCTTCCCATAGCAGCCGTTTCAAATGAATAGCACATGCGGAGGAAAAACTAAACCCTTTGACGTCACTCCCGAAATGAGGAAACATAAACAGTAGAGAAAAAAAAAAAAAAAAAGAGAGAGAGAGAGAAAAAAAAAAAAAAAAAAGCAAAAGCAAAAGGCTTGGCTCCGCGGATTGGTCTGCTCTCCCCGCGCCCGTGGCGGGCGGTTGACAGCACCTCCCAGCCCGGCTCGGCCTTGGGCTGGAGAGAGAAAGAGGGAAGGAACGAAGGGAGGAAGGCAGGCAGGGAGACTGCAGCAAGCTCAGCTCGACCCCAGCCCTCACACTGCCAGAAAAGTGCACTCTCTCCTCCCGAGCCTTTTCGCTGCTTAAGGTGGTTTTTATCGGCTGGGTTGGGGGACTTGGGGGAGGTTTTCTTTTATTTTTTTTTATTATTTTTTTTAATTTTTTTTTTTAAATTTTCATTTTTTTTTATTTGCTGTCGTTACTTAATTCTATTCCTAACCCTGGATGCAGTTGCTGGATTCTGCAGTACAAGTCTTCATGAACAAGCTGCACCGCTTAGAGATTTCACGACATTCAGAGGTCACAGAACTGCCACTATGGTTAAATGTCTTGTTTAATGGTTGAGGTATGTACAGCAAATCTAAAAGAGGCAGCATGATTATTTCTGAAGGGGAGCTGAAATGGTGAGGGGGAGAGGAAGATAATACTATTATTTGGTGGAAAAAGATTTTTACTGGTGATTGTTACTACAGCAACCGGTTTTTGAATTTCCTCCCTTTTTCTCTTTATTCAAACTAGATGAGAATTTTAACTTCTGTTGATTTAACCGTTTGATGGCGAAAGGAGATTGCAGAAAGAAATCTGTTGTTGCATTCCTTTCTGACCCCACCAAGGAAAGTGTGATTGCTTTTTATTGTACCTTCCCCTACTGCTCTGTGGCAGGAGAGGGGGGACCTGGGGACTTGGCTGGCTTAGATGAAGGGAGAAGAAAGCAGAAACTCATCCTGAGGGGGCTGCGAGTTTCTCTGAGAGTTAGAGCAGAGAGAAAAAGACTTGGGAATAAACAGATGGAGCAGAAAACAATATCAGGATTGCATGTATCACATTTTTTTAATTTTTTATTTTTTTTTTAATATGTGATTGCTTTACTAGATTTGGGTTCAGAAGTTCAAAATGAAGAAGCAGCCTGCACTTTGACTTCTCAGCAGATCCTCAGTGGGAAGGGTGGGAGGGGGCTGATGGTCTTGCATCAACACCGGCTTTGGGATACCTTTTGCTCCTTAAGAAGGAGAAAAGTGGAAATTTTGCTTGGGAGCTGAAGTCCTGTAGCAGCCTTGTTTGATGGCAGATAGGTTCAATTCACACCCGAGAGAAGGATCTGCCTTGAATGAGGGTTGCAGCATTAGAGAGAGCAGGGTGTGCTGCAGGAAGCCCAAGCAGCTGCCAGCACAAAACTAACGTTGTTTTCAGGAGCGTGATTCTAAAATACAAGAGGAGGAGCCACTTGTCAGAGCTTGTGTGTGTGTGTTTGTTTGAGTGATCTTAAAAATAATTTCAGCCAACACAGCCTGTTGTTAATTGGATTAATATACAGGTATGCTCAATGACTAACAATCTTCATATTTTTCCCCAGTTCGTGGCATGCGACTTCTCACAGCTCTGTTTGAGATGTTGATGTAGATAAAAAGCCTCTGCAATTTGAAAATCTTTTAGTTTAACTTTAAAAAATGATATATAAAAAAACCAAAACAATTCACATAACAAGGAATAGAACGTAAGCACACCTACCTCATGCAGTGCACCTCAAAGGGTTACAAAAATTAACTCCGCTGGGCTGAGGCACGGGCTAGCTTAAGGACTGCAAAAATATTAGCTCTGAAATGCAGAGGATGTGCTATGTGCTGTGAATGGACAATTGCTCGTCTGCAGTGCCTGGTGGGAAAACAAGGACTTTGTGTATTGCAAATGCATAACTGCAGCTCCTCCATTTCCTTTGCTGTATCTTCACTGAGGACTGCAGAAACAAAGGGGCTTGTCACAGATAAACTCCTTAGTGCCCGGTCTCTTTGGGGATACTTGTGGATATGTTGGTTTTTTTTTTTTTCATGTCATCCAACAACCCCAAGTCAAGCTTCGTTAGCTGAACTGTTATTTTGTAATCTCCAAACCATTCTGTCTTCCCCAGCCCTCCCCGAAGTCTTACTACGTGAACTGCCAGCTGTTTTCCAAAACTAAATCACAGCTTCCCCAGCCCCAAGTTTAGAAAGGTTAATGTAGTTTTTGTTAGATGATTAATTAGTAAATTTGATTAAGGGGAAGCCTCGGTCTGTAGGGGCTACAGCTTCTTTTGTAAGGAACAAACCTGTAACTACAAGAAGATAACCAAGTTTCCAAAAGACAACCTGTAAGACATTTGTTTATGATCGTTTCCTAGAATTGAATGAATCACTTCTTTTGATAAAAATGTTTTAGAGCAACTTAGTTCTTATGCGCTGTAATCTACACTTGGCTGCATTTGTGTTTTGTGGTAATTACTACTGGTGATACTAACAGTAAATACGGTAAGTGGACTTCAGCTGAGGAAATAACACTGTTTTTCTACTTTAAGGAAAGTCCATCTGCAATACTTTCTCTGAACATCCTCAATTCAGTATCAAGAACAAAATACAATTTATGGTTGGCTTCTCTGCAGTGGATGCAAAGTTTACTGACATTTGCAGTCATGTTATCTCAAAAAAATTAAAAAAGTCTGTATTGCAGAAGTTTCATGTAGTACGAATGGCTGCTCATTGTGAGTTCATTTCTGTAAGGTGGACAAGAGTTGTCATCAGTGGAGTTCTAGTGATTCCAGCAGAGCGAGGCATACTCTGCTGAGTCTGATCCGATGTATTGCGGATTACAGAGTTAAATATTTCACTATTTTAAAAAAGTTAACTACTACATAAATACACCATTATAAAAGCAGCTGTTTCCTCCCCTTCCTCCCTGTTTGTGTGCCTTTCCCTTCTGAAACCAAGCCCTGTGCTTGCCCTTATCAGACTTCTAGGTAGGTCACTGAAGAAGACTGATTTTCCAGTGTCTTCATTGCTATTATGAAGTATAATTGAGACATTCAATCATATGTAATTCCCTTTCACTCACCCTATGGTTCTTCTACCAATAGTTAAAGCATCTTTTAATGAGAAACGGTCTGAAAATTGGTATTTTATGATGTATAGATGGCTTTCTTGTAATTTTTCAGTCTCATAGGGGGAAAAAATGTCTCTTGTACTGGTAATTTCCTTTGTAGGAGCTGTGTGAAACAGAAATGCCAGCTACTAACCAAACCATTACTGTCGTTAGACTAAAACTCGACACCTCTTTATTTAACCATAAGAAATATTTAAGATCTAGGCTGTCCTGTGATCAAGCTAGATATGTAGCCAAAAGCTCTTGAGGCAGTTGGGCTAACAGAGAAACAAGCCATTTGGGGCAGCCGGGAAGACATCCCATGAAAATCAGCATCCTTAGCAACTCGCTATTGTTCATCTTTTCTTCATTTTCATGCTTGAAACTATTACAGCGCTCCATGTGTTTGTCACAGGGTGAAAGTGAAAGGGACAGCTGGGGTCCTACCAGCTGCCAGAACAAAATTAAGTGTTTTGTAACGAAATGATGGCTCAGTATTTCTCCTCCCGCATCCATACTGGGTGGGAGATGGGACTCTCTATGTTGGAATTATAGGATTCATTCTTCTTGTTCCTCAGCCAGAAAACAGGCTTACCCTTACAGGGACATCAGTTTTTACACTTTCAGTGAAAGGTTGGCTTTGCATCTAGTGTGAAAATTGCACTTTTCAGTCACAAGGATGTGGAACTGATGTCATTTAGAGTTTATATCCTGGGGGCACTGGGGGACACAGATGTGCAGCCGAAGTGTCCAAAAGCACTTCACAAGTTCTGATGCTTTTTCTTTCTCTGGCCAATATAAGGTGAATCGAGTTAGGCAACTAAAGATGAGCAATGGTAGCTGAAAAGCTGGGCCACAAAGCTGGGCACCACCTACAGAATCAGATGAGGGTGGCTGGTAACCTTTTTCTGTGGTTTCTCAGTAAATGAGTGGAAATCAAATAGTATGTCTTCTGATAGCAGTAGGAATTTGTCAGGTCTCAAGTATTAGCTCTGTGTAAATACTAGAGAGAATGTATTTGTTATATTTGAGACTATTTAATTTATATGCATTTAAAATGCAAAGTCAAATTCTGAAAGATTTTTTTTGGCAAAAAGAATTCTTCTGGATCTTCCTGAAAATTGTTCAGGCCACATTTCATTTTACTGTTACTATCATTCTTACTACAGTACCATTCCAAGAAAATTGCATTAGAAAACAGTATCTGAAGCTCTGAACTTGTCATTTCTGTTTTCCTGTAGCAGACTGTGGTCCACAGTGCTCAGATCTGGGCTAGTGATAGCTCTCTGTTCTCAAGGCTCCAGTTTTAAAGCAGAAAATTAACAAATCAAAGCCAGATCCGACAAAAGAGAGAGCAGTTCCAGAAACCAAATTTCAGTGGCAAAAGGGTTAGCAAAAAGTTTGGGGCAGACACAATTCTTGAAAAAACAAACCAGCAACCAAATGATTTAAGCATTTCTTTTGCACAGGTATCTGCAGTCCATTGATGCTGCAATTCTGATACACATTTTTCACTTGCTCTGTTCTTAGACAAGTGAAAAATGTATAGCTATTATTTTATCATGTAAACAGTGTTGAACTGTAGAAATTAAACTAATGAAAGGGCCCTATTTAGTTGGTTTTTCTTATTCCCTTTTTCCTCCCTGTGGGAGCTGTGAGTGAGGATGGATGAGAACTCAGTTTAGTTACTTATTTAAGCCACATAGTCTTATGGTGGTATATGATATGCTTCTGCGAGCTTACTCTCCAGCCAAATAAGACATCCAGTTTGCCTGGATGGATAAACATAGCTGATGATCTCTCCCTCTTAATAGGTGGGAATGAGCAGTTAGGGTTCTCCCAGTCACACACAGAGGTAAATTTCTTATAGTTCAGCTAAAGAAGAATTGCATGCAGACAGAAACAGCAAGATTTATTTCCCTTTGAGTAGGTTATTTTAAAAATAAACAACAAATATTTAGAAGAAGATAGTTGCAGAGGTGTTTGTTGGTTGTCTTTTTTTTTCTGTAGCTGGTAGGTTTATAGTAGTTACCCACAAAAATTTCTGGTATGAGAAAACTCACCAACTAATGTCTCACCATGGCGTGTGTTTATGCCGGCAGTGTAAGTTTTTTTAAAAGTAGGGCACAAAATCTCCCATCAAATTAAGTTTAGCTAATAATCACGGAGGCAAAAAAACCCACACATGTGAGGCAACTGCTGTCAGGACCTGTACACAACTCTCTACATGGGTTTTCATAGCAGAGTCTATGTTACTAAACCATCTGGATGTAGGAAAGATGTTTTGGAAATGACAATCCTTACCTGTCAAGAATAAAGTGGGAGGTAGGGAAGTTTTGACTGAATATGCAGCAACTTGGAGATGGCTCAGAGAAATATACATCTTTAAAAGCAAAATTAAGAAACCTCAACTTCAACTAGAGAACTTGTGGAGGATGATATTGAGCTACTGTATAA